GCTACAAATCAACAAGATGATGTTGGCTGACCTTCTTTTCAGCTGTCTTGTCCTTCTTCTTGCCCTGCAATTTATCAGAGATTTCGCTTATTGCTTGGAGGTTCAAGGTATAGATATGTTATTATCAGCTTGTTCTAGAGTGATTAAAATAGCTTGCATCATTTTTGATTAGGAAAGGATAATTGGTGTTAGGAAAACGGTTCGGCCCAAGACGTAAAATCTACGCGTTCGAGACTTATTGCTCCTAAATCTAAATCACCATCAGCAGCCAGGCACGCCAGCACACTAACACATTGTTATGCGCGCAAGCAGAAGGCGTGAGTGAGGAATTATGTTGTATGTTCTCTGAGACACAATCAATCATGATGACGATCGATTGCTGCAGTTAAAATGTGCTAAGTGGGTTAACGATGTTCTCCATCATGAATCCTCTATCAAAATCTGGGCAGATATCATTTATCCATAGAACATTTTTTATCAAAGCTGTTAGAGGGTGTCCGGACTAGCTTCTCGGCCTTTTTTATTTTCTCCTTATTATTTAAATCCATGCGCTTGCCAAATGAAAATCATTGGTACACTAAAATAGGCAGTCGCTTTACGTGAAAACTTTCTAGCCGGTCGCTGAAATGGTTAAATAGTTTAATCGTCCGCATATTACGTCAGGTGCCCTGTTGCAGTTTTAAAAAACTACCGGTATGGGTCCGCTTGTTTAAGTTCAAATTCATATCAGCTAATGATTATGAGCAGTACTGTAGGATTCCCCACGACATAAAACAACGTGCTAAAACACATCGCGTTGTCGAGACTTTAGTCTATTTCGATCTGACTTGATTCAACGTCATGCTAGGGTAATGCGGGGATCAAGTTGCTAATAAAACAAGCTCTACTCAAGTAACAACTCATCCCTGAGTAATGTTAGGACTGGGGATTGCAGTTACTTGAGCTATTGCCTTGGCTTGGGCGCGGAAAGTAACGCACGTACGTAGCGAAACCCACGTGACACACTCAATATAAACGTCTATGACAAAGAACATGTTAGATGATGCACTCGGCTTCATCTAACGTAAGGATATGCGTGCAATGTACTTTTCGAGATGACAGGAAATCGGCCGCTTAAAGGGATATCAGTGAGCAAAACATCAGCGACAGTCATAAGAAACATCAACGCAAAGGATGTCAACGGTACACTTAACAGCTTCCTTTTTCATTTCCCGAAGCCCTTTCGCAAACTTCTCCGCGGCAACTATGCACGTTTGTTTGGCGACAACGCCATCAAATTAAAACAAAATAATCGCCGCAGTACTCAGAATTATGGCAGATATGATTTCACATGCATTTCCATTGATCGCTTCAACATGACGATAACATACCTTGGGAGATTCTGGTGCGTCCCCCTTGCACTGCGCTTTTTCAGCGCCGGTGAGCAGCTCGATTCTGTTGAACGCGGAGTCCACGATCTCCCCCCGACTGCCCTGCTCGTGCACGTCTTCCTTGCTCTGGCGCCGCATGTTGACACAGCGTGAGTGACGTCATTCACTAGAGCATGGCCGGTTCGGGTCCTGACCATACATGTTCGCTACCGCTGAGCGTAAATAGGTAGGTGAAATCGCACTGAATGCGTCATTTTCGAGGGCCGCGGCAGCAGTTCAAATAATCACATTCCGTGCATCGCGTGATTTTCACACTGTCTATCGAAAGTGCTGACGTCGTTGCAAGTACAACAAGTACATTCACTGACGTTGCCAGATCTTCATTAAGATTCAACTTTGTAATGCGTGCTTTGATTTTGGAACGCGAAACGAATGACCCATCTTGAGATTTCAAGGATTAGAATATAAAATTTTAAAAACAATATCTTAATATTTATGAGACATTTCTAAATAGACACATTGAAATGCATGCATATGTATACACACATAGGCACACACATGAATGTATATCTATATATTTTCATACGAGTAGAATATATAAGTAACTCACAGTGGTAAACATAGGAGTAACCACAACGGCACTCTCACGACGCCTGACAATGCACTTACGTGACAGGGCACCTCTGGAGCACATGTGACACGGACATGACAGAACATTGACACGGCAACAGCTGACGGGTAACACTGATATTATTCAGTTTGTAATGACAGAAGACGCCTTTAAATTTGGAAACGTATATTCATTAACGAACTTTCTCCAGCCATAAACAGACAAACAGATTGCTGCATGGACGTTGAGTTATTACGTGGTGGGTGGTAAGTACTATAAATGCGATTGTGGAAAGGTATTCGTGCCTTAGCATTGTTTTCGAGAGCTTATCTCATTGTCGGAGAAGACTGAATGGTACAAGAGATCACTTTCGGGTTTTAAAGGATGAAAACCATGCCTTCCGATTGGAAAACCTGTTTTGGCACCAGACCAAACCGCACCGTACGAAAAAATGTTTTCCAAAAGTAACGCACAATTTTTATCCTTTAAGCTCAAAACACAATTCTTGGGCCATACAGTCTTCTCCGACGATGAGACAAGATCTCGAAGCGTAAGAATGCAATAATTGACGAATATATAACTATTTTTGCTCTAACCAACTTTGATCTAAACGATAACGCAAAGTAAAAAACCCGGAAACTCCAACGATGCATAAACAGCTCGTCAATGCTGAGTGAGCGGTCCTTTTAATTGCAATAATATATATATATATATATATATATATATATATATATATATAACTTGATCAGCTGCTCCTGAAGGAGCCATACACAAGCACAGGCGAGCAACGTGATAGGATGTAACATGCAACATGACCAGTTTTTGGACATCAAGGGCAGGGCCGCACGGCACAGCATCCGGGACAGCGCAAAACAGTACAGTGTAAGACAGGGCACCGAACAGAGGACAGGACAGCGGGCAGGGAGGACACAGCGATTAGTGTAGCGAGGGTAGCACAGCGAACAGGACAGATGACGGTACAGAGGGCAGTACAGGGCAGAAGATAGGAGCAGAAGACAGAGGGGATGGAGGGGGGGGGGGCGGGGGGGGGGGGGGGTAGGGCAATAGAAAGCAGGTCGGGGGGCTGTGTACTGTAGGTCAGGGCAGGGGTTGACTGGGTAAGGTAGAGAATGGAACGGAACAGAGAAGCAGCCAGGTCGGAGAGAGGGCGGATGGAGAGCAAAGAGAAGGCCAAGGGACCACGTGGGACGGAGGGCAGGGCAGTGGGCAGAGAACAAAGGGCAGGAGGTTAAAGACATAACAGAACAGGTGAACGAGCAGAGGACTTGATCATACCAGACCAGTTCTGTTCTGTCCTACCAACGAGCGATCCGGGCCTGCCCCGTCTTGTACCGCACGGAACGAGATAGAGCAACTTTGAACTTGTCTTGTTTTGCTCTGTTCTTTCGCTCGCACTGCCTCCTGTCTCCTTTCTCGCCCTCTTTTCTCTCTCATATCCTCAGTTCCGTCCTGTGTCCTGCCTTTTGATCTATCATTCGGCTAATCTATGACGTGCCTGTCCTATCCTGTCCTCTGCCTTGTTCTTTGTTTCGCCGTCTTTTATATTTTCTGCCTTCTGTTTGCTGTGCGTATTGTGCTGTCCTATTCAGTCTTGCCTTAGAAACTGTAGCGCTGATCATTTTGTTCTTGTTATTTTGTGAACTTATATTGCGCTAAGCCATGTCGCCTCGTTTAGTGAAACAATTTTTGGAAATGCCAGAGGTATATAAAAAGCCGAGTGTCCATTTTTGTTCTCTCAAGGAAATTTCCGCAACAACTCAAAATGTTGGACTGTGAGGTTGAAATAATGTCACGTTCGAAATATACCGGCTCACTTTTCTCCTAACAAAGGGGCCATGAAGAATTCAGGCATAAGATTTATGTCCATGTTACAATATTCAAGCACACATAGAAACGCAGCAAGAAATTCCATGCAATGTGATATACACAGCCCCCTGAAATAACGAAAGCAAAAAACGCCATCAGCCAATGCACGCAAGCTCCAATGCACGCAAGCTTTTACCAAAGCACTTGCAATGCGCAAACGATACGATACTTTCACAGTTTCGTAAAACTTTGCTTTTTGTAAAATCTGATTGACTCTGGTTGTGTTCACGAATATTTCTGTAACATGCGTATTTCTAATCACAAATTTTTACACGCATATTCATGCACCAATGTTGCAAAAAGGATGGGAAACAACACACTGAAGTTGCGATGGCACCATCTTTTACAAACATCACGAAAACCTTATTCGCGACAGATCTCTCGTGAAATCACAGTTAAGGGTGGTGAAAGTAGCGCCTATCACAAAACACTGATATTGATATCGTATCATATATCGCACCGTAGAGTATTCTGTTTCAGTCACTTGCAACGGCGTGGATTTCGTGATGAAGGTTACTTGCACGTGTAACGTTCTGATGTCATGGCCGTGCTATTGCTTAACGGCTGAGCGTCCTCCAGTCAAAGGAGGGGGGGGGGGGGGGTATGTAAGGTCGGATGCCTGGGACCGGCTGGGTGCGCTGCAGCCAATGACCTTAGTGACCTCGGGTCGGGCCACTCGTGGCCGGTGACGGTTTGGTGTCTGCGCGGGGTCGATGTTGGCTAGCAGGGTTATGGAGAAAGGGAGGGAGTCGATCTGTACGCGTTCTGTGTGGCTCTGCCCCCCCCCCCCCTCACACCGCTAACAGGGCATTGAGGTGAGGGGGCAAGCACGGGCCCTGACTGCATCGCGTCTGTTAGCCCATACCGCCTGGCAAAGCAGCAAGGCTTCCAAACGCATCACCTCCTCAACTGGGACCTACACGCACTCGCCCATCCATTAGCGTGTGCCTCAGATGCAGCCTTTCCTCCAGTCCGTGGTGCCTACCTGCACGTGCACTACGCGCTCCTGGTGCTGGGCCGAGTCCAGGCCCGAGCGGCGGATCTCCGCGGCGAATCTGAAGCGCCCGATGACGTCATAGGTGTGGTTGACAGTGAGATGGACCGCCTGGGCCAGGTCGGCGCGCAGAAAGGCGCGGCTTCTCATGGGGCCGGCAGTGTGCAGAGGGTCAGCCCGGTCACTGGACGAGCCCCAGTCCGAGCACAGCGGGTCGGCGTCTGAAGAGGAAAAAACAAACCGAGGTCAGTATTATTACACTGCCGTTACCGACTTCATTGTTCTCATTTGAGAATCTACACAAAAATTGCGCGAAAATGTACAACGTCAAGTGATGTAGGTGAGACAATGACTTCCAACCTTATATTATATATATATATATATATATATATATATATATATATATATGACTTGCTAAGTATGTACTTTTTCCCACAGCATTTCAGCAAAAATGTTGTGGGATCCAAATCAGCGATGGGGGGAGGGGGCAGAGCCACACAGAACGCATACAGATCGACTCCCTCGGCGAAACGCAACCCTAACGTGGATAGCTGGTGTTACCTCTGCGTCATAACATAAGCGCAGTATGCAATACCTATGAACGATTCAACAATAAGGGTAAGACAAGACGGTAAAATTAGGTTGAAAGGTTGAAAACATAATCGGCAAAGCAAAACATGCCAATCAAGCATGAGTCACGCAGTCTCCATTTTTGTGATCACACAGTATTAGACTTCACCAGCTATCCACACATCATGTCACATCGTCCCAGGTTATGTCGAAAGGTCGGATACAATAACAGCTTACCATCTGTCAGTGGGTTTGTCGCCAGTGTGACGTGGCTCACACGGTATCCCAACACGTCACCAGCCTGCACCTGCAGTGGCTCTGTTTTTACGTAGTTGTAACCTTCTTTAACTGTGATTTCAACCGACTCCACCACGCTGAACACACTGGATCTCTTCGGTAGACGGCCACATATCTGAAATACCCACGCACATGGCACGCGCGAGTGGGTCTGCAATGCAGCAGGAACATACCAAACGAGTCATTTGGTAGGGGTCACAGGAGCGATTCCAAGCCAACCCAACCAATCGATGTCACCCGACCCCTGGGATTTGGGGCGGGATCTTGTCTTCATGTTTTTCTCTGTCTCTGAACACGATCCTGAGAATGTCAGAGCAGTCAAAACAATGGTTTTCAAGTTGCAGACTTTTTATTTATCATTTTTATGTTTTGAAAAATGAGATTTTTAAACGACCTTATCATGGTAAGCGTGCATCACAGACCAAAAATTCAACAACCAGGCGGCAGATCATACGCATGGTTACTTTAAATCAGCGATATGCTCCAAAACATGACACATGCATAAATAAATTATTCGTTAAATTTTTGAAATATTTCCATAAGAAACATGCCAGCATATATTTGAACCAATGCATTATTTTTTACTTCTGTTTTTACCTTGCATTTCAAGAAACGCGCAACGGGAATTTGCAACGCGACCAAATCATCCAGCGAGCACTAAATCGGTCCTTCCGCGCGAAGCAGTAAATCGTCGTTCTCCAACCCCCCTGCCCCCCCCCCCCTTCCCCCAATGCCGGGCATCTGACGCGAGGCGGCACACAGAGGGAAGGGGAGGGGCAGTCCATCGCGACCGACACTATGGAGTGTTTGTGGTGAAAAACACTGGTGGTGCGTCTGGGTGTTTAAGGAGACCGCGATATGCGCTGCTTATGTCATATGTACTGTCTAGATAACGCGAGTTCACAACGGATATCGTTCAGCACACCGCGATACACGCCTACGTACAACCTGCCGAAAATAATATTGCAGCTTTGACATTCGAATGCAAAGTAGGTTGAGGACCCTGCTGAATGCGGAACCAGATCAGGAGATGCACAGATAATCTCGGCCTTCGATGTGATGCTGCGACCGTGCGTCGGATCGGTGAGGCAATGTCAGCACCCATTGGAAATTACCGTCGTCTTCAATGTTTTTGCACTAAGACGAGCATTTCCGCGGCGGCCGTCTATGCGCAGTGTTCTGAACACTTTGAAAGATCGGCTAGCACGAAGTTTCATGCACTCCCAGATGTTTGTCGCTCATTGTCTTGTAGATGTAGTAGTCCCTAGTTTTCTTAATGGTGCACGCCTCAGCAAATCTGCTGCTCAAGAACTTAATGGTTCAGTCGACCTCTTTTGATGGTACTTAAATCAAGAATATTCAAAACGTGGAATGAGGTGATATGAAAATCATGCCCAGTGTCTGCATCAAGCTTAACACCAAGTTTGATACGAATGTAACCATGTGCAATATTAGAATAACATTACGTCTTTAGAAACTACTGAATTATTGTGATTCCAGGGCCGGTTGAATAGATCTAGGTCCATCACGAAGGACCGGGAGGTCGACGTAGACCAATAACAACAGCACCTCCCCCTCCCCGCGCCCCCCGCAACTGAAAAATGAAAGGCGCACCCAGGGCATTCCCCCTCCCTCCCGTGCAGGCCCGGCTTTGGCGTAGGTTTCATAAATACAAAACACGTTGCATAGATTCTAGACCAATAACAAAGTAACCCAACTACCAGTCTACTTCAATTTTGCGGGTTAAAAACAGGATGGCCAATACTTAACTAACTCCGTACACCACTCGACGGGATAGTGATGCTTAGTTATTGTTAACGTTATGCGGTTGGCCATTTACACAAAATGATTGATTTTAGGCCTGACTCTGCGCTTGGTAAAGAGATGCTGTTACTGATGAGGGGCGAGCTTCAGGGCGCCGACAGGGTTTCTGATGCCCTCCTTAAACGAAGCGTGCGCTGCTTGTTACGAGATGGTCTACGGCTGGTTGCAATCTGGTGGCATCATTGCGAACTGCTTAGACTGAGGAAACTCCTTGGTAGCTTGTTTCCTGCAACACGCGCGCCGGGCTTCATCAACTTTCAAGACACCGCGCAGATCGTGTTTCTGGGTGAATGCAGTTGCACTCATTGGTAACGTGGTTTCTCTCTCCTCTTCGCTGAACGGATCGGCACACATCTCCACTGTTGTGACAATGCCCTCCCTTTTTGATAGCGCACCAATAGACCTTGTTCGTGCTGTGAGCATGTGGCTTTTAGTAGACTTTCACTAACGCCTGATCTTTGTGCCAGGACATCACGCGAATGGTCCTCAACTGGTTTCACTTCACGACTTCGAGCAAATGTTCTTTGATTACAATCGCTGGGGTCGCCAAAGAAGCAATTATTTTGGGCATTCCCTTGTAGCACCTTGACCCCCCACGGGAGCACGACACGTCAGTGCTGCTCAGCCAGGTGGTTAGAATGGAGTGCACGGCCGAACTATCGCTCCACAATCTTTGCCACGCACACTCGATCCGAATGGTCACACATATTGTAAGTAGTGCGGTTAGGATATCCAAGCGTTAGTTATCTCAGCCCTACCGGGCCACTTATCAGCAACAGCCCCCCTCCCCCCCCCCCCACGATGTGCGCGCCGACTCAGGCCACGTCAAATACACGACGCCAGGGGCAGGGACAGTTGGGGAAACAGCGGCCGATCACTGCGAGCGGGAAGACCGATTTGCCGCTCGCTGGGTGTGTTGCTAAGAGAATACCCACAATGTTTTCTTGAATTGAAGGGTGAATGTGCATGGAGGACACCGAAATCCTGCTTTTGAAAACCGTTTTGAATTGCTTGGCTTGTGATTTATAAAGGTATATATGATATATTTTGAACGTGTTGGCACATCAAATATATCCATGCTTGAGGTATATTGCCTCGCTATTGAATTTTGGGTATGTGATAAACACATTCCTAGATGCGGTTGTTCAAAAAGTGTCTCTTCAGAACATGAAAAATGAGAAAGCGTCTGTATTTCAGAAACGGCTGCTCCGTTTACTCTGATTTTCTCAAAACTGTGTTCAGAACAAGAGGAAACCCAACAGACAAAATGCCATCGAAATCCCAGATGGCCGGGTGTGAAAAGTAGTCTTTCGTTGGTTGGGATGGCACGACATGATACCATGATGGTTTAGCATGCATTTCAGCTCGAGAACCATAAACAACGAACACCCAATGGGAAAGCATAGTGCTTGATACTTATCATTGGAGCACAAGCATGAGGTTTACTAGCTCCGCAAAATTCTGGAAGTTCTTTCCCAGGCTGAAGGTTTCGCATCTTCACATATATTACGGAAATTCTGATCAAAAGGGTACCCATAACTCAGATAGGTGGTACTAAACCGGGCTCAGAAGACATTTTTCCTTTCTGTATCAAGAAACCTGTTTTCAGAATAAGCAAGACCCTTTGTGGATTCGGCAGCCCATGCTCTGGATTAGGAGGTCCTGTTTTGCGATACTGGTTCGAGAGGCACTCTGTATGAATAAGGGGGGCCCCTGTTCTGGGAGACGCCCAACATACACACATAAGAAAGCCCCTGCTTTGAAACTGGAGGTCCGTTTGATTTATCAGAAAGCCGCTTCTCCGGATCAGGATATCCTGCTTTGGGATAATAACACAGTTTTCTGGTTTTGGAAGCCACCTTTGTTGATCGCAATAACCCTGTTCTAGATCAGCGGACTCTTTATGCATCAGGAGGCCTTTTTCTGGAACAGGAGGCTGTGCTATGCGATGACGAAGCCCTTTGCTGGATCGAAAAGCCCTGTATTAATCGAAATGTCCATGTTTGGATTTTCAAACCGTCGACGTATAATCACAAGGGATATCGATAGTGTAGCAATGTGACAAAGGAGTGCAATGATTCCGGTGTCTCCCCTAATATGTCTCCGGTGCCTCCGGTGCCACATTTCAGGAGACGCCTGTGATGAGACCCCATCTTGTCCAGGGCCCCCTTGGAAACTTCGGCCCCCTTCTCGAGATTTGTGGCGCCACCCAAGTCCAAAACACACCGCTGGAATCGGAGTGCATGCCTGGAGTTCAGGTGCCGTCTGACTCAGAAGGTGTTAAAGGCTCACCTTGTTCTCGCATGCAGCATGCTGAAACATCCATAAATGGCGCTCTTGGCACGGCCCACGCTCGGAGACTCCTTCTGGTCGAAGAACGAGCACTTGCAACGGGCCCCGCCCCAAGGAAAACGCTTCTAATCCCATCAAGTAGGCTGGTGACGACACGGGATCCCAGGGCATGAAGACGAGGGAGGCTGGAATGTCATCCTTCCGAGGGGCGTCAGCGGCGGTGTCGTCCGGTGTCAGGGTCAGAAACTCGTCGAACGCCGTGCTATTGACCGATGTCTCCAGCCCGTATGTTGTGGCGGCCATGCTGCGGTGATCCCGTTCGGGCTCGTAGATAATACTGAAAGTGAAGTCTGAGTGCTGAGTCTCTGCGCTGAGCGCCAGAGGAGACGGAGTTCCGATGGAGAATATCAAGGGATCTGAAATAGTGATCAACAGCGAAAGCATGGCGGCTGTTACAAAACGATATACTTGTTCATCATGAAGAAGTTTAACGTAAGAAGTACTTAATATAATCACGCGAGCAATACGTAGCAAATGTGCAATTTAAGACGTACATACCGCACATGCTTATGGTTTTTTCATTTTTGAAAACCTCAAGCCTTTACTCAAGCTGCACAGGTACCAGCAAATTGACATTTCAACATTAATCGCCCAAAGTTGAACTACCAATCCATCATTAGTGATATTAGTTCGGGTACCGCTCTTCACTGGTGTTTCTCAAGCGCCTTCGGGCCATGCCAATGCCAGTACACCTGCCCACATATCCTTCTCATTGAAGCCTGCCGTCTCACCAGGTAGTCGGCAGGTCTCGGGTGGACTGCTGTCACCTCCATCCAGGGTCAGGCTCATGCCAGAGCCGCGGAACACCCTCACAGTGCAGACAAACTGCTGGCCCGGCTCGACCACCAGTGGGCACTCGAGGTCAAACGGCGACACCGGCTCCCGCACGTCGACAGGAAAGCTTCGGCGGGTGGGCTGTTGACACGCGCCGCTAGTTACATGCGGAATCCACCGGACAAATAATAAATATTCCCTCGGGTTTGGTTTGCATCAAACGTCGAATTCCCGGTACCCTTTATTTATTTATCGTGTGGTGGAGTTTTCGCGCGCTTCGGCACCAAAGACCGTCTGGACGGAGCAATGTGAGGCGCCAGTGATAAGTCTGTGAAAGCGATTTCGATAAATCGTGCGTGGTTACTGTGAAGGCCCCGCTTGGACCATGGTCCACATCGATTGGTTACAGATGTGTTTCACGATACATGGAAATGCATTTTCTAGCCATTCTCTGCCAAAACGTTACCTAAGCCTGACCCGGTTTCTGCCTCTGTGGTCTTTGTGTGTGTGTGTGTGGGGGGGGGGGGGGGGCACTTACTTCAGTAACGTCAGCCCGGTCGGTGGACAAATCGTCGGTGGTAGCGTAGCGGCCCTCTGCATGGATCTGTGTCGAGGGTGACTTCTTCACGTCAGAAGGCAGCGTGAATCCTCCCCCGTTGTCAAAGCTGACGAAAGAAAGTCAAAATTTCACAGTCTCTGAAATTTCACCATTTTTTATTGGATTGTGTTTTATTGTACTATGCACTTTTCAGTGTGCAGTAGTGCTCATTAAAATTCATGGCTATTCTTGAGCACGAATCGACAACACAAAGAGGTTGGCAGGAAACACAGGCATTCAAAACACTAATGCAGCCTTAAGCGCACTCGGAATGACAGAGGAAATAGATGCATCTTACCTTGGCACATCCGAATCATTCTATATTTGACCGAGATGTTGTTGAAGTCCTTTAACTGTCACCACCAAACGACATCTAATCTCAATGACAGTGGGATAATGCAGCAATGATTAAATGTAGCTGCGGAACGATATCCGAATGGCCGTCTGCTCCACTCCGTGTGGACTAGAGATAGACTAAGGCCCGTGTTCTGCCGCCTATTACGTTCCCTCTCCTGGCCTGTGTTGTCAAAATTCCGCTATGACTCTGGCTCTCCAATTGTCAAAATCCCGCTGTGGCTCTGGCTCTCAGATGGTCAAAATCCCGTCATGGCTCTGACTCTCAGGTTGTCGAAACTCGACTATGGCTCTGAGCTTTCCGGTCGTCACAATTTGTTTCAGCGGACAAAGCACATGGCAGTCGGACAGTGACGGACAGGCATTTACTTCAGCATGCGGAGGGTATAGCTGACGTCATATTTCGCCGTCCCGTGATGACCCGCGCACTGAGGTGGACTACGTTTTAAATGCGTCCCATGAACTCGGCGTTACAATTACCATAGATGCTAATGCAGAATCACACTGCTGAAAGCACCAGAGCGCTAGCTATTGTAGAAAGCACTTCTTATGTCTTAACATCTGTCACGAATATTTGTTCAAAGAAACTTACCTTCAAAGGTAATGCTCCACATCTGAAGATGTTAAAGCAAGCAACAGATATAATATAAGCATACTCATAAGTACCGACATACTTTTGAATGGAAAAGACTGCCCAACACAACACAGTTTCTCTTTTTAGTGCATATTTAGTACATATGATGTTGTTTGAATGCTTCATCGTGCCTTGCACAACATTGATTGAAAGCCCTTTGACGGTCTTTACATCTGAAAATAGTGTTTATGAACGCCAGATATGCACGACTCGGCAACTACATTCTCCTTGGACTTAATCACCGCACGGCTAGTGGAATCGCAGGACTTGTATGACATTATCATGGTGTCATGGGTGACCTTGAAATAGTCTCCCTCTTCTGAAATAGTATACACCTCTTCTTTGCTCATTGCACCTCATGGGCGCATAGCTCAGAGACTAGAGGGGTTTAGGTCTTACGAAGGGCAGGGCTGTGGACTGCACCGAATAGCCTTCAGTATTACTATTTCAGTCAAAGGCCCATTAAAATGTGAAACACTCCCTATAGCTAGATATTCATGAATCTGAAATGTGTCTGTCTTCAAGGCGTGGTCGTAGCGTCCCCAAGATGCACGGCCACAGTCGTGTATTTGTTCACGTTTGTGCCCCAGACCTGATAGCTACCTGCACATGACGCTTCTTGGCGCCGCAGAGCTGTCGGTGCCAGTGATGTCCGCGTCTGTCACGGACAGGTCCGATGGCTCTGCTGCCAACTTCACTCTAGTGATGCTCGTCTGTGGAACAACCAGCTGAGGCAGGGACAAGGCAGGTTAGGCGCGAAAGGGCTCAATATACGGGCATATAAGGTAAGACTTCATCACAGCGTTGTCATCACAGTGTCGTCGCAGGAGCTCTGCAAGGCTTTCCTCAGCCATTAAGTGTTGACATCGAATTGACTGATTTCCTAGCGTATGTCTGTCTGTCCGCCTGTCCGCATGGCTTTACCGCGGCACGCAGATGGCTGCACGGATTACCGTGGAAATTAGGCATGCGAAGAGTGACGTTCCATTACAGACAATCATGTGACGATCCATGATAGACGATTATGTGGCAATCCATGACAGACGATCATGTGACGATCCATGACAGACAATCGTGTGACGATCCATGATAGACGATCATGTAGTAATCCATGACAGACGATCATGTGACGATCCATGGCAGACGATCATTTGACGATCCATGACAGACGATCATGTGGCGTTTCATGACAGGCGCTCATATGGCGATCCATGGCAGAAATTCGGACCCGTCCGATACCGGTGCCGATAGCAGCGCGCGCGATAGAGGGGCGTATTTTCGCATTGAGCAGGGAAACATTTTCCGTGTATGTGAGAGACACAAGTCATACAAAGTCCAAGCGCCCCAAGCCATCAAAAACATGCCGCAAAGCACGAGCAACGATGAAAAGAGCCTCTCCACATGAAGGGGACCGCGTCAATTACCGCTAAAGCTCAAAGCCGAAAAAAACTAACCAGGACGCAGATGCAGTATTGAGACGGGAGCCGATTACCATGTGGTTGGAGGCGTGCAACACGGACACTAAAGGCGGCAGTTCCTGGCGCAGCCGCGAACTCAAACTAAATGACATTTAGGCGAGGCCTGAGCGCGTGGAGCAGCGCTGCACGGGCAATGCGTCCGAGGGATCCGTCAGTGTTGAACGGCTTACAAATGTGAAACTGAGAACCACTTAAAATTGTTGGGAAACGATGTAACGTAACGATCTAACGTCACATCAGGGGTGGCAGCACGCGGGCACCAACGGTGTCACCTCTTCATGCAGCGGGGCGAGCTGAATCACTTCCAATTTGTCACTCGAGCCTAGCCTGCACTCATGTTCACAGGTCATCATATACGCAGCAGTTTCTTGGATCATAGCAAATGTGCAGCGAACCTCGCTCCCTGTGGTAAAGACGTTGGCGTGTTTGAGGGACGTGCTGCCACAGCGGGCTGCAGAGGCTTGGACGTCCATCGGGGCGGGGCAGACGGCGTCGGACACCCGCTGCAGGCCTGCAAACATACCAGTTCGTGTTCACCTCATGACATTTCGATGCGACCTCGAACGGTTGTAGAAACAAACAACGACTCTGAAGATTGAGCGTGCTAATTTTTTTAGCATTTAATGAAAACGCTTACGGAGTTGTTTCGGATAAAACAACTCCAATCACTGAATTCCTGTCATGCAAAATTTGTTTGACTGATCGTTTAGCATCAACAAATTGTCTGCCCCCACCCACAGCTGTGGCCGTGGCCCATGGCTATGGCAATGACTGCAGCAGTGGTTGCGGCTGTGGATGTGCCAACAGCTAGGACTATGGCTCCGACTGTAGCCGGCGATACACGCCAACTCACGCAGCAGCGAGCTGCAGAAGCAGACGCGGCCCAGTTTCGGACCCCCACACCGCGCACGAACTGGCCAGCGGACCGAACTGGAGCCGCTGGCCCGAACCGCGCACGAACTGGTCAGCGGACCGAACTGGAGCCGCTGACACGAACCGCGCACGAACGCCAGGGTCTGACATCGGGGCTGGCAGACCACAGGTGTCAGATGCTGCCGATGCACGTCTACGTAGTTTCCATGATCAATGTCTTTCTGCTTCGATGTTGCTCGCTTCTGTTGTTGCCCGAGGTTTTATTTTAGCGTTCTAATTTCATCTGGGCGAGCTTCAAGG